ATAGACAGAAAGAAAAGGCTGCGAAAGACGCAGAGAAGCAGGCCATTCTGGCCAGTGAGGCAGCACAGAAATGCAGTGCCGCAGAGCAAAAAGCCCAAGATGTTCTCAGCAAGAATAAGGAAGACGTTCTTGCTCAGCAAAAGCTGAAAGATGAGTTTGAAAATGCTAAGAAACTTGCTGAAGCAGCTGAGAAAGCCAAAGAGAAGGCAGAGAACGAGGCTGCCCTGCTCCGTCAAAAAGCAGAGGAGGCTGAAAAACTGAAAAAAGCTGCAGAGGATGAAGCGGCAAAACAGGCCAAAGCACAAAAAGATGCAGAGAGACTGAGGAAAGAAGCAGAAGAGGAAGCCTCCAAGCGAGCGGCAGCTGAAGCAGCAGCTCTAAAGCAGAAGAAGCAGGCTGATGCTGAGATGGCCAAGCACAAAAAAGAAGCAGAACAAGCACTTAAGCAGAAGTCTCAGGTTGAGAAGGAACTTACAATGGTGAAACTGCAGCTGGATGAGACCGATAAGCAGAAAGTTGTGTTGGATGAGGAGCTTCAGCGAGTTAAAGGTGAAGTAAATGATGCCATCAAGCAAAAGGCACAGGTGGAGGATGAACTGTCCAAAATTAAGATCCAGATGGATGAGCTCCTGAAACTTAAGCTTAAAATTGAGAAAGAAAACCAGCGCCTGATGCAGAAAGACAAAGATGATACACAGAAATTACTTGCAGAGGAAGCAGAGAAAATGAAGAGCCTGGCGGAGGAAGCTGCCAGACTTAGTGTGGAAGCTGAGGAGGCTGCCAGACAGAGACAGAATGCTGAGTCTGACTTAGCTGAACAGAGGGCACTTTCAGAGAAAATGCTAAAGGAGAAAATGCAGGCCATCCAAGAGGCTACCAAACTGAAAGCTGAGGCAGAGGAGCTCCAGAAACAAAAGAACCAGGCTCAGGAAAAGGCTAAAAAACTACTAGAGGACAATCAACAGATCCAGCAGCGACTTGATAAGGAGACAGAGGGCTTTCAAAAATCATTGGAGGCTGAGCGAAAGAGGCAGCTGGAAGTTTCTGCTGAAGCAGAGAAACTGAAATTGAGGGTTAAAGAGCTCAGTGACGCTCAGGCAAAAGCCGAAAAGGAGGCTAAGAAATTCAAGAAACAAGCTGATGAAGCAAAAGTGCGCCTTCAAGACACAGAAAAACAAACTACAGAAACTGTTGTGCAGAAGTTGGAGACACAGAGGCTACAGAGCACCAGAGAGGCTGATGACTTGAAGAAAGCCATCGCTGACCTTGAAAAAGAGAAGGAGAAACTGAAAAAAGAGGCAGAGGAGCTTCAGAAAAAATCAAAAGAGGTATTTTGACATGAATTAACATTGTAATCTATTTACATTAATGCCACATAATTATAATTACATGGGTTGTAATTACATTACAATTATTATTAATTAACATAATCCTGTTAAACACACTAACTACAGTAATTGTGGATGCACATGTGACATTTCATGTAAATTGCAGAGACTTAAAGTAACATCCAGCAATTTATATGAATGTCATTCAAAACACAATACTGCAGAGTTAAAATGGTCTCAAGTGAAAAAATTCTTTCTTGCCCAGAGTTAGCATTCATGTCTGTATAATAAATATGAAGCTACTGCGAGGAGACAGATAGCTTAGCATAAAAGACTGAAAAAAGTGAGAAACAGCTGGCCTGGCTACATCCAGCATTTTACGATCTTAGTACAGATTAAATAAATGAGATATAACGTGTTAATAAAGGGCTTTAGAGGTGCTGGAAGGTGGTTTGTGTTACCTTTGAACAGAGCAAGGCTAGCTCATTCTGTATTTATGCTATGCTTAACTAGCTGACTGCTTGCTGTAGCTTCATATAGAGCACAGATATGAGAGTGGGTTCAATCTTCTCATCTAACTCTGCCATAAAGTGTATTTCCAAAATTGTTGCTCTATTAATTTAAATATTCCTTTACGTTACATGCATTGACATTGTGACTGATTTGTTTCTTCTTATTTCCAAATAGATGGCAAATGCCCAACAAGAACAAATTGAGCAAGAGAAGGCCATTCTTCAGCAGTCCTTCTTCGCAGAGAAGGAACTGTTGTTGAAAAGAGAAAAGGCCGTTGAAGATGAGAAAAAGAAGCTGCAGAAACAGTTTGAGGATGAAGTGAGCAAGGCTAAAGCTCTCAAAGATGAACAAGAACGTCAGCGGAAGCTAATGGAAGAGGAGAGGAAGAAACTTCAGACCATTATGGATGAAGCTTTAAAGAAGCAAAAGGGGGCTGAAGCAGAGATGAATCACAAGCAGAAAGAAATTGAAGTGCTTGAAAAGAAAAGGCTTGAACAAGAAAAACTCCTAGGAGAGGAAAACAAAAAGCTCAGAGAGAAGCTTCAGAGTCTTGAGGTTGCCTCCAAACAGGGTGCATCCAAAACGAAGGAAATTGAAGTCCAGACTGATGAGGTTCCAGAGGAGCAGTTAGTTGCCATGACAATGGTGGAAACAACAAAGAAAGTGTTAAATGGCTCGGTTGAAGTGCATGCAGCAAAGAAAGATGGAGAATCACCTTTAGCATTTGAAGGACTTAGAGAGAAAGTTCCTGCTGAAAGGCTTCATGAAATTGGTGTTCTGACCAAAAAAGAATTTGACAAATTGAAAAAGGGCAAAGTCTCTGTGCAAGACCTCGGAAAGACTGATAAAGTTAAATCATGTCTTAAGGGTCAGAGCAGTGTTGGAGGTGTTTTGACTCCATCCAAAGAGAAAATGAGTGTTTATCAGGCTATGACTGAGAAAAAGATTACTCCTAACACTGCCACAATGCTCCTGGAAGCTCAAGCAGCTTCTGGTTACATGGTAGATCCAGTGAAAAATAAACTCCTCTCTGTAGATGAGGCTGTTAAAGAGGAGTTAATAGGCCCTGAGCTCCATGACAGGATGCTCTCTGCAGAACGAGCAGCCACTGGCTTCAAAGATCCCTATACTGGGGCCAAAATATCTCTATTTGAGGCCATGAAGAAGGGACTTATTGAAAAAGAGCAGGCCATCAAATTCCTAGATGTACAGCTTGCAACTGGTGGCATCATTGACCCCATCAATAGTCATAGAGCACCACTTCAGACTGCTTACAAGCAGGGTCAGTTTGATGCAGACATGAACAAGAAACTCACTGACCCCAGTGACGATTGCAAATTATTCATTGACCCCAGCACTCAGGAGCAACTCACTTACCAACAGTTACTGGAGAAATGCACCAAAGATGCAGAGACAGGACTGCTGATATTACCAGTAACAGAGCAAGCTGCTCAAACTGAGAGAACATGCACAGATCTGGAGACTGAAGAAGTGTTCAGTAAATCAACCCTTGTTGTGCCTTTTGGAAGGTTCAAAGGCAAAAATGTCACCATTTGGGAAGTCATAAATTCAGAATATTTCACTGAAGTGCAAAGAAGAGAATTGATTCGCCAGTACAAGACAGGCAAGATCACAGTAGAGAAGATTATTAAAATTGTCATCACTGTTGTGGAAGACAAGGAGAAGAGCAATGAAAATGTGTTTAATGGTTTAAAGGCTCCAGTCTCTGCCAGTGAACTGTTAGAGTCTAAGATTATAAACAAAGACTTGTTCAATAAGTTGAGTAATGGCAAGATAACAGTTAAAGAGATCTCTGAGATGGAGCCTGTGCGGAAGGCATTACAAGGAACACCAAGCATTGCTGGACTGTGGAATGAGCCAACCAAAGAGAAAATGCCTTTCTATCAAGCTATGAAGAAAGAATTACTGTCACCAGAAACTGTGGTGAACCTTCTCGAAGCTCAAGCAGCAACTGGTTTTGTAATCGATCCTGTCAAGAATGAGAGGGTCTCTGTTGATGAAGCTGTAAAGTCAGGTCTTGTGGGACCAGAACTGCATGAACGACTTCTGTCAGCAGAGAGAGCTGTCAGCGGCTACAAAGATCCATATACAGGAAAAAATGTGTCTCTGTTTGAAGCCATGAACAAAGGCCTTATAAAGAAAGACCATGGCATTCGTCTGCTTGAGGCACAACTAGCAACAGGTGGAATTATTGACCCTGTTAAAAGCTATCACATCCCACATGAGGTTGCCTGCAAGCGTGGATATTTTGATGAGGAAATCAGCAAGACCTTGAACAAAAACACTGATGAAACAAAGGTCTTTTATGATCCTAACTCGCAAGAGGATTCAACCTATGCTCAGCTCATGAATAAATGCATCACAGACAAAGAAACTGGACTCCCGTTGCTTCCTCTTTCAAAGAAGGCTGCAAAGCCAAAAGAAGACAAACAGATTACAGAGGCTAAAACAAAAGAGGCTTTGAACCAAACAATGGAGCTGGATTATGGTCCTTTCAAAGGAAGAAAAGTCACAATTTGGGAGATCATACACTCTGAGTACATCACTGAGGAGCAAAGAATAGAGCTGATTCGCCAGTACAGAATGGGGCAGGTGACAATTGAAAAGTTGATAAAGATTGTGATAACAATTGTTGACGAAAAAGAGGAAAAACCAAAAGAAGATGCTGGTTTTGAAGGCCTTAGGGCACCAGTCACTGCCCGATCTTTACTTGATTCCAACATCATTGATAAGGCTACATTTGACCAACTGCAGCAGGGTAAAAAGACACCTAAAGAAGTTAGTGAAACTGATAAGGTTCGGAAGTACTTGCAGGGCACAGACCGCATTGATGGTATCACTATAGAAGATTCAAATGAGAAGTTAAGCATATATCAAGCAATGAAAAGGAATGTTTTGCAACAAAACACTGGGCTTGCACTACTTGAGGCCCAAGCTGCAACTGGTTTCATAACTGATCCAGTCAAAAATCTGAAATACTCTGTGGATGATGCTGTGAAAGATGGAGTTGTTGGTCCAGAGCTTCATGAGAAACTTCTCTCAGCTGAAAAAGCAGTGACGGGATACAAAGATCCGTATACAGGCAATAAGATTTCTCTATTCCAAGCCATGAAGAAAGAGCTAGTTCTGAGGGAGCAGGCTATTCCTCTCCTGGAAGCTCAGTTTACCACAGGAGGTATCATTGATCCAGTCAGCAGCCATCGTGTTCCCAATGATGTGGCGATTCAGCGTGGCTATTTGAGTAAACAAATGTCAAAGTCTTTCAATGAACCCTCAGGTGACATTAAAGGCTTCACCAATCCCAACACCAATGAAAGTGTTACTTACAAGCAGTTGGTGGAGAAATGTGTAAGAGATCCCATCTCTGGTCTGTGCTACCTGCCTCTGTCAAAGGTTGAAGCTCCTGCTCCTGTTGAAAAATCTTATCAGTACACAGAGGATCAAGCCCAAACAGCTCTAGCTAACACTCAAATTGAGATCCCTCATAAGAGTTTTGCAGGAAAGACTACGACCATTTGGGAAGTCATGAATTCTAATATGCTTCCAGAAGAGGAGAGACGCCGCCTCATGGAGCAGTATCGCTTGGGGCAAATCACAAAGGAAAGAATGTTAATCATCATCATTGAAATCATTGAACAAAGGGAGACACTAAAGTCAGAGCAGAGCATGTCATGTGATGTAATCAGAAGAAGAATTACTATTGAGGAGCTGTACAGTGCTCGAATCATTGAGTTGCACACATACAACCTCTTAAAACAAGAAAAGATGAATATCCGTGAAGTCATGGAAATGCCATCAGTAAAACAGTACCTGTTTGGGACGGGTTGCATTGCTGGAATTATGTCAGACAGTCCTCCGAAGATAAGCATTTACCAGGCTATGAAGAGCGGAAAGATTAAGCCTGAAGTTGCTTTGAATCTCCTGGAGGCCCAAGCAGCAACAGGATTCATGATCGATCCAGTGAAAGATGAACTTCTAACAGTTGATGAAGCTGTACGCAAGGGGCTTGTGGGCCCTGAACTTCATGACAAACTTCTCTCTGCTGAAAGAGCGGTTACAGGGTACAAGGATCCATACAGTGGGAAAGTGATTTCCCTCTTCCAGGCAATGAAAAAAGAACTTGTTCCTGAGGATTATGCCTTGAGACTTTTGGAGGCCCAGAATGCCACTGGTGGATTAATGGATCCTGAATACTACTTCCACCTCCCCATAGATGTTGCCATGCAACGTGGATACATCAACAAGGAGACACTTGACAGAATATCTGAACCTACTGGGGATGTGCGAGGTTACATTGATCCAGTGGCAGATGAAAAACAGTCCTATGCTCAGCTACTGAAAAGATGCAGAGTTGACAAAGAAAGTGGTTTGCGGCTACTTTCACTGGCAGATAGAAGACTTCTCTTCAAGGGTCTCAGAAAGCAAATCACTGTGGATGAGCTGCTTCGTTCACAGATTATCAACCAAAAGACATACAACGACCTCACTGAGGGTATCATTACAGTGGAGGAGGTCAGCAGAGACCTGAAGAAATACCTTGAGGGTACCAGTTGCATTGCTGGTGTGTATGTAGAATCTAGCAAAGACCGTCTGTCTATTTACCAAGCAATGAAGAAGAACATGATCAGACCAGGAACTGCGTTTGAGCTCCTTGAGGCTCAAGCTGCCACAGGATATGTAATTGATCCTATTAAGAACCTGAAACTAAATGTCACTGAAGCTGTTAAGATGGGTGTTGTTGGCCCAGAGTTTAAAGATAAACTCCACTCAGCTGAACGAGCTGTCACAGGCTACAAGGACCCTTATTCAGGCAAGATCATCTCACTATTCCAGGCTATGAAAAAGGGCCTCATTCTGAAAGACCATGGCATTCGTCTGCTAGAGGCTCAAATAGCTACTGGTGGAATCATTGATCCACAGGAGAGCCATCGCTTGCCAGTTGAAACAGCATATGAACGTGGCCTCTTTGATGAGGAAATGAATGAAATCCTCACTGACCCATCTGACGACACAAAGGGCTTCTTTGACCCCAACACTGAGGAAAATCTCACCTACCTGCAGCTGATGGAGAGATGTATGATAGACCCAGAAACAGGCCTTGCCCTGCTGCTTCTGAAAGAAAAGAAACGTGAAAGGAAGACATCATCCAAGTCTTCAGTTCGCAAACGCAGGGTCGTCATTGTTGATCCAGAAACAGGCAAAGAGATGTCTGTGTATGAGGCGTACCAAAAAGGGCTCATTGACCACCAGACCTATCTCGAGCTTGCCGAGCAGGAGTGTGAATGGGAGGAAATTACCATCACCTCATCTGATGGAGTTGTAAAATCCATGATCATTGACAGAAGGTCAGGGCGGCAGTATGACATTGATGATGCAATCTCAAGGGGCCTGATTGACAAGTCGGCTCTCGATCAGTACCGTGCAGGAACTCTGTCCATCACAGAGTTTGCAGACATGCTGTCTGGAAACATGAGCGGTGTTAGATCACGTTCATCCTCCTTTGGCTCCTCTTCCTCTTACCCCATGAGCCCAATACCTTCTATAAAAACACCAGCAACCACATGGAACGACCCAACAGAGGAAACTGGTCCTGTGGCTGGAATCTTAGACACAGAAACACTGGAGAAGGTGTCCATCACAGAGGCCATACACAGAAACCTTGTGGACAATATAACAGGTCAAAGGTTGCTAGAAGCTCAGGCCTGCACAGGAGGCATTATCGACCCAAACACTGGAGAGAAATTCTCTGTAGCAGATGCAATGAACAAAGGGCTTGTGGATAAAATCATGGTGGACCGAATCAGTCTAGCCCAGAAGGCGCACAATGGATTTGAGGATCCCAGAACCAAAACCAAAATGTCAGCAGCCCAAGCTCTAAAGAAAGGCTGGCTCTACTATGAGGCTGGGCAGAGATTCCTTGAGGTCCAGTATCTCACTGGTGGATTAATTGAACCAGATGCTACCGGCAGAGTCTCCATAGATGAGGCTGTGAAGAAAGGCACCTTAGATGCACGCACTGCACAGAAGTTACGAGATGTTAGTGCATACTCAAAATATCTCACATGCCCTAAAACCAAGCTCAAAATCTCTTACAAGGACGCTATGGAAAGAAGCATGATAGAGGAAGGGACTGGACTGCGACTACTTGAAGCATCATCTCAGTCAAGCAAAGGCCTCTACAGTCCCTATAGCATTAGCGGGTCAGGCTCCGCTACTGGGTCACGGTCTGGCTCAAGAACTGGTTCTAGGTCAGGCTCCAGAAGAGGCAGCTTTGATGCCACAGGATCAAGTTTAACAACAACCTTCTCTTCTACTTCCTACAGTTCACCAAGCTATGGCCGCCGATACTGATGAGTTTCAAAGTTAAGGAACGGTTACTATGGGAGGGATACACTAAAAAAACAAAAACAAGTGTTCACCAGATGCCTAATTCTCAGTGGAATAAGGACTACTTTTATTCTGCTCTGCATGTGGTTATTACAGGACTTTAATATTTAATTTTATACAAGTTGAATAATTTTGTTTATTTTATATTTCACATTCACTTTTAGTTTATGCTATCTTTCTGATTACAGAACTGTAAGCAGCATATGCAGAAGCTGTTTATTATTTCCAATATCTATCACAAATATTACTAATGTACTTAATATTTTTTTGGATTGTAAAGTTTAATATCATAAGCATTTACTGTTCCACAAACAAGATTCTATTTACAATATTGTGTGTGTTACACTATAACCGAAACATATTACCATTAGCCTGATTGTTATGGAGAACCAAACTGATTGTACAAACAAAGATTTCTGTATGTGTGTATATTTCTGAATACTCAAAAAAAAATAGCTAAAGAAAGATAAATGCCACTCTGCAGAGCAGAATAAGGATTCTCCCGATTATGAAACATTAACACTGAAAATTTCGGCTTTAAGAATGCCACGCTTCAAGATCTTTTCTTCCCTGGGCTTCTCTGCCGGATATACTCTCCCAATATCTTCTCCATTTCACAATTGTCTGTCATAACATCTGGAGTGAATCTGGAATCAACCTCAAAGAGCAAACTTCCACACATTGAAGGAATATGTAGAATAGTATAACCATTAACACCATCTGACAGGTCTGGACTTTACACATCCAACCTCAAGACCAACACATACAAGTCCCTGCCTTTCTGGACACTTTAAAAGGTATGTAAAGAGTAGATTTACATTTAATTTAGTGCAATTTCTTGGTATGGATGTGTCATTTAGAGTCTGTAAAGTCCTAAAAATCTAATGTTCTTGTTCAATGTTGAATTTTTCTGTTTCAGATATTGTCTTCACAGTTCATGTCGTCTTCAGCTCTTTGTTCAGATGTCTTCCAGAGACCTGTGGCATTAATTTGGACTTTGACCTTCACTGTAATCAATGATTTTATGCAACAGTACAGAAACACACATACTCGTACAATGTTTCATCAGATTCTTTTAACAGTAGAAAATTTTATTCTAATTTTGAACTCACTTAAAGTCCTAAACCATGCTTTGTAAGTGCCTGCAAAATACTCTAAGACTTAATTGGGACGTTGAGTATATGAGATGGTGCAGTGGTTACACTGTAAACTGACTGATGCATGACTGAGTCCAGTGCTACCCATAATAGTATGATTACTGTTATCAGGTAAGCCTTTTTACAGTGAAACGGCGGCAATGTCATCTAACTTTAAAATAATAACAGTTCATTTAAGTGTCAAAACTGGTTGAAAGCGATTTTAATTTTTTTTTCCTTCACGAGTAATGTAATGTACAGTATGTTCTGTATATTGATGATTATCTAGAGCACTATTGCTAAAAGCCATTAATTAACATTTCTTTGAGAAAGATCTTTAAGCTTTTCCACCAAACCCAGTATTTGTATTTTCCACCATATACTTGTTCTGAATTTAATTCTCCTTTGTAAAGCAAGTTATTTTATTTTCGTACTCTATATTTCTGCTTTGCATGATTTAGTTACAGTTAAAAGGTGCAAAAATGAAATAGTTGTATCCATTAAAGCTTTTGTTTTATTATTACATTTCAAAGGGTTTGAAGGATGTATTTTAATGAGGGTTATCAAGCCTTGGTTAAAATGGTGTATTTATAATAAATGGTGACAAGGAATTTTATTGTAACACCTTATGCTATGTAAATAAACATGGAAATGAAACGTTTTCTCTCTTAATTATTTTAAATTTTTTAATTATCTGTTGAAAACGGGTCTTTGAGATTATATCACATAATACATTAATTTGCATTAACACAGATTGCTATAGGCCAGTGGCTCTCAAACTTTTCTCTAAACTGACACAAATTAGGCCACACCCCCCCATTTGATAAGATTTTGTCCCAGGATCGCCCATCTGATGGCCTTTAGATTTTTTTATTACAGAAAGTGTATGAAACTCATGACCAGAATTTTATAATTTTGTCACTTTGTTACATATGGATGGAATTATAGTAAAAGTAAATATTTCCCCTTTTTGCTGGGGACCCCCTCAAGGACCCCACTTTGAGAACCACTGCTATAGACAAACCTGTGTTTATTTAATGGGGGGAAAGTACCATAATCAAATACTTATTTTACAGTGTTGAATATGAATGACTTATTTTCCATCACTCACAACTTTAAATTAGCTAAAACCAAGACATGCCATCCCAAAGATGTTGACATAAATCCTGTATGTAATTTGGCCTGCTAGTCAGAATTGTAGGCCTGGTGTGTTTGTGCATCAAAGATCATTTTCTGAGAATGGCTTGCCCCTTATAAATCTGTGACTTAAGGTCCACATTCTGCCACCTGTTTCTGTGCAATCTGAGCCATTTTACATTTTACGTTCCATGTTTGGCCAATGAAGCCCAACCGGAGAACGGGGCAGGGGCGTGGTTATGGCAGGGATGGTTGGGAAAGAGAAGATGCGGGTCTCAGCAACAACAGCTGTTTATCGCTGATCGCATTGCCGTGGGAACGTACTTTGAGTACATGGTGAGGCGGTCCTGACTGAACACGTCCACGCAACATGTCACAGCGCACTAACTAACCGTGATGTCGGTCAAAAGTATACCAACAAGAACATATTTAAGACCCGTAGATTAATGATCGTCCAAATAACACGAGCAGAGCGTTATTAATATTGCAACATGTAAATCCGCCCCCTGAAATGTCAACCAAAATGTCATGCTGCTAAAATTATTTATTTATTTTACATTGTTAGCAGGGACCAGAATGGGTTGTGTGTTCTTACTGTAAACGAACTTCGGGGTGACGAAGCCCTAATTCCCGCGGCAATGGCTGATTGGTCTCTCACTGTTCTCTCATTGGTGTCTGTGGTCAGTGACCAAGGGCCAATAAAACAAGACACACACAGCCTGAAAATGATACATTTCACTCAAAGTTTAGACTGAGTCACAAATTCCCACACTGGTGAGAAGGGGTCAAACATAGTTTAGGCGGAGTAAGGAGCACTGTATTGATTTTACTAGCTAGTTATGTCCTTATCTAAAGAACAAGGGATGGCAGCACCTCGACAGCCGAAATGCACCCGGTGCCGACACCATGGGATCATCGTCCCGCAGAAAGGCCACATTAAGTACTGTCCTTTTCTTAAATGCGACTGCTGGAAGTGCTATCTCATCACACAGCGGACTCGGATCACGGCCCTCCAGCGAAACCTGAAGAGAACCCAAAATAAAGAGCAGCGAGCTTGCGGCCACCCAGCGGCTGAGGGCACCTGTTGCGCCTCGGCCCCGGACGGAGGTGCTAGTCCGTCGGCCACATCTGGACTGACGTGTCCCCCATCGGGAGGGGCCCAGGAGTCTGCTGCCAACACCAACTGGAGCCCTCTCGACCTCCGGATCAAACCAGCCGAAGAAGGGGAGAATGTAGCCGCTTTGGACAGCAGAGAGGTGCTGCCCTTCGCTTCCAGCGAGGAAGGACCAAGTACACCTTTTAGTAAGTTAAATTATCCTAATTAGTTCATTTTAATGTTTTTAAGATGTGGAATTCACTGGATGGAAACAACTCCAAGTTAGCTAGATTTGGAAAGATGTTACTATAACGTTAACATTAATATTAACATGTTCCACAGCTCTTAGGACTTCTTAACCTCCTAAAATAACAACATATAAATAATAAATTAACGTCCACTAAGATATTTTAAATCAACGTTAACGTTACACCTTTTAGTAGGTTCAGTTAACTTATTACTTAATACTATCCTAATTAATTCATTATAAGTTAATGTTATTAAGACGTGGAACAACAAACTATAAATTAACGTTAACATAATATTTACACTTTCCAGAACTAAGGACTATAATGTTAGCTAAGGTAACCTCTTAAAATAACAATAGATGAATAATAAAATCCACTTAGAGCAACAAAATCAAAACGAAAATGTTAGTTACAACATAAATGTAATTTTACCTGAAGTTATAAATATATTTTAAACAACTAACTTTATAGCATACGATTTTGGATTTTCTCTCTAAAACAGTTTTGTAATTTGCGAGTTAAAATGTAAACTAGACCAGAGAGGAACATAAAAATTATCCATGATGGTAGTTTGAGTTTTCTTTTTTGTGTATTTTCGTTTGTTTTCCAATAAACGTTATTTAAAAGAAAATACTAACGGTCGAATGTTCAGTGGGGATGACGTCATGAAAAGCCAAGTCTGGGACACCTGCAAGTAGATCAATCAGAAGAGCGCGTGGAGCTGTGCAGCTGGCAAAAGGGCGCGCGCGCACACACACAAAGGGGTGTGAGGACAGTGGCGCGAAAAAGGAGGCAGAGTTTGCTGAACACAGTCTACGGCTGAACAAGGTCTCCTATTTTTAATTACTTTTTTACGTTAACACCTTAATCATCTGTAATTCAAAATACTGTTATTACATCTGAGGTTTAGATTCATAATTAATAATAATAATTATGTCTGTCCAATGATAAGATTGTCATAGAACAATTTATGCATTGGGTGCAGCTCAAAGTGAAAACAGATAAAATGGTAGATGGTAAAATAACATGAATAAGATTTTATAACAAACAAAATAGCACACTTTAAGATAAGCCAAGAGTAAATAAGGTCTAACGTTAATAAAAATAGGCTATAATAGAATGTTTAGAGCTGAAAGAACAAGATGAATAATCAATCAACTGATAATGAGTCATTACTTTTACTTTTAAAGTAATTGATTAATTGAAAAAAAATGTTAATTAATTAAGAGAAAATGGTAAATTAATAAATGGGTTAGGGTTAGTTAATAAACAATCATCAGTTGCAACCCTAGTGATGTTATTATGTATATATTTTTAACATTTTAAATTGAATTATGAATGTGTATGGCCTGAACGTAAATGATTGGGTGAGAAACCTCCATTGCCCTGAAACACAAGTCAAGTCAATGAATAAGGGAATCTTTTAGCAGATTTTAGTGTTCAAATGTAACTTATATTGTCTTACCTTTCCTTCCAGATGCTCCTTACTTTGGTGAATATCGCCAGACATCACCTCTGCCTTTTATTCACTACCAAGTCAGGATGTCAGGTCCACACCCCAGCAGCTGCGCACCATGTGGAAACGTCCTGTTCAGAATGCCATGGTTGCCACCTGTGCCTGCTGGGCTTTACAACAATAGCCTCTGTGGACCCCTGATGTTCCCCCACTTCCAGTCGGGTGCTGTGCAATACCCACCTCCACCAAACCCTGCTGCTGTAAGTGGCTGTTCTCTTATATCCTAATAAAAGTATTGTACCATTAAGTTTGCAGGACGTTTTGGCTTCCTGGATGTGTTATGAACTTTATAGACTGACCTTTGTCTCAAAAAAAAAATCTTTGTCATTTCTTATTTGTGTCAGGATTGTGGAACAGTATTTTTCACTGTCCCACAGCCCTTCCAGGACGAGCTGATGTCAAGGCAGCCCCCTCTGTCCGAGCAAACTCAGCAAGACATACAACAACTGGATTCAAGCACATAATATGTGGAATAGAACCTGAGCTATTCTTTAGTTCCTGTGGCATCATTGTTCTGTGCCTTATTAATATAGTCATGTAGGGTTTCTTTATAAAGGAAGTCAGAACTCAATTGTCTGCATTTTAACTTTTTTTACATCATAAATCAGTTTAAAATCTGTGCTAACTATTTATTAATCAGTTATAAATTTGCACTTTGCTGTTGCAGCAGTGCAACATACTTGTCATATATTGTTTGCGTTATGTTTGCAAATAAAAATAAAAGTTGTGGGTTTACTTTTCATTTTTTTCAACATATTAATGCTATTAGGCATTTATTTATTACAGTTTTCACAAAACAAATTGACACTAGCTCTTACTAACCTTTAAAACGTTGCACCGCTTTACCACAAGCTGAAATTATGGCTGTCAGTACTACTTTGTGTTTCTGTTGTATTTAAAAAAATTCAAAAGACATTTTGGTAATATTTGCAGATTGCTTATCTAATTAAGCAAAGCAAGAGGAGCCTTGATTTTCACCAGCCAATTTTGTGTTGCCTTTGTAAACTTCATATATTATGTGGTTTATAATGGACTGGTGCAGAAACACTGAGGCTTACATTGTCCTGGTATCTGTCAGTGGTCATACTTGATGCACTAGATGTGATAGTGTTTGAGAATTTCTTCATTTACTTTGATATGTTAGTCCAGATGAGCCAACCCTCCCAAGATGTAAAATAATGTATGAAACATCATGTAGCACTTACTCAATCACCATAGCTATACTGCTCCCTTGTGTAGGGGAGGGGGGGTGCAATTCGCAACCCTCACCACTAGATGTCACTAGAACTTACACACTGAACCTTTAATGATTATGATAAGTCAGAAGTCTATCTTACAAGTTTAATGATTTCAGATGAATTGTGTGTGATGAATGTGCACCTAGTGAAAACACAACGCTCACTTTTTGACATTGAATAATGATTACTGCAGGAATAGTCATGGTTTAACTGTCTATGGACAGCTGTCAATCTTCATCTTAATTGAAAAAGTAAGGGCCTCTTATATTATGAATTAAGGAGTGGATTTTATGAGGTTTGCTCAATTTGAAGGGTTGTTCACCTCTTCAGATCCCTTTAAAATGTGCATATTATCCGTTAAATAATGTAATGTATTATAATCCTATAATTTATCCAATAATTATCCCTTCAAGGGATTTATAATGACCTCCCGTTTCCATTCTTTTCTTGCCTCCTTCTCTGCTCCCATCATCCCTCTTTCACTCATGTTTTGATCAAAAAGCATCAGATTATATACAATTCTGTATTTAGAATCAATATTTCAATTTTGAATTTTGAGTTTACTTTCTGAGGCACTTCGTACATTATGTAATAATGTCCACTAGGGGGAACAGGCACACTGTCAGTTCCCAAGACCTTCACTGGCCTGTTAGCGTGAGCTCACAAGTATTTCACCAATCCTTCCTGCTCCACTGAGAAAAACTAACTCTTGCAAACACCCTGGTGACTTGTATTAGTTCAAGGGTCAAGAAGGGTGTAGCATGAAATCCCCACTCATATTAAAAGAAAAAGAAAGTTATCGAGGTCTGTTATCACTAGTGGTTTCCTGAAGTACAATTTTTGGGTACTTACATGGTACTACATTTCAGAGGTTAATGTACTTTTTACTCCACTACATTTATTTAACAGCTTTAGTTGTTAGTTTCTTTACATACCAAGATTATACATTAAAGAACATACGATAAGCTTTTGAAATACAATGCATTGTTGTCATGGACTGTTTATTAACACAATGGTTCGCAGAGTTGTTTGCAGTTCCACTGTTGAGACATTTCCTCTCTAAACTCCTCAGATGGTAAAACTTAAATATTTTACAAAAAAGCAAAGATTAGAGATAATTTTATACAAATTTGTGTAGCAGAACTTATTTTCTTCTTTTGTAATCCATTAATAATCCCTCAGATCTATTTTGTGACTCTGGAGGGAGCCCGCACCCTTGGTTGTGAACCACTGGATGAAACTACCTAATGGTATAAAGTATAAAGTAATTACAGTGACAACAGTAAAAGTTTGTTCTTTAATTAATGCATCAAAATCAAGTAGGATTTTAAGACTTTCATTTTTGTGGAGTACCTTCACAGTAATGTATTGATACTTTTTCTTGAGTAAAAGATCTTGATACTTCTTCCACCACTGGGGATCACAGTAAACCTAAATATAGATGTAGAGCAGGTGATACAGCTCACTACAGTATATCACATTGACCCTGGTGGTTCTTTGCTGTTTACTGGTATTTGCCACCAGAGTGCTGGAGCTTTTGCTGTACAGTGTAACACCACGCCTCTGGCTTCTCCATGCTGGTGAAATTTAATAACATTCAAAAATGTTGGCATCGAGTTCACCAAGTACAGCTGCCAAGCCGTGAAGATTGTGTTTGTCCTCTGAATTCCTGAGAATACTTCAACCAAATGTAAACCACACGCTGCTTCATACCAACCCACAAAGGTCCAACTATCTTATCTACATCAGTTTCCCTGGTAACGCAGTCTAGTCCTGAATTGTATTTTTCTTTTGTTTTGATGTAACAAATAAACTTTATATTCCTATACTGATATAGTAGCCTCTGGTCCAGTTTGTTCTGGCACTTGTGTATGAAGCAGCGTGTGGTTTACAATTGGCGTTGTCGGCAGGATCTATACAGAGGCTTCCCTGGTAACGCAGTCTAGTCCTGAATTGTGTTCAACCAAATGTAAACCACACGCTGCTTCATACCATCGACCTTTGTGGGTTGGAGGTGGACTGAAACTCAACTTCCAAACTTACTGCCAGTTTCTGGAAGATCTGATATAGGGGACAGAGCCTTCAGCGTCGCAGCCCCCACCCTCTGAAACTCCATCTCTACAGAGACCCGAAATGCTCCCTCTCTGGACACCTTCGAAAAACTCCTAAAAACCCACCTCTTCACAAAGGCATTCAACCCTGAATGATTTTTATTGTTCTATTCTGTGTTTATTGTTCAAAACTCACTTTTCCTTAGTTAAACATTTAGATTTCAAGTTTAATTATATTTTGGATTGACTGAGAGTGTATTGTGTTTGTGCAACAATAAAATTTATAGGCCTGGTGAGGAATGTAATTCGCCTAATAATTGTGCATGCAGTGTAAACAAAGAGGATGAATGATGAATGAATACACTGTGAATATAATGGCTGTGTAACTGAAGGTATAAGGGAATAAGATAATTGATTTGTACTGATGCTGTAATGATAATAAATGTGGGTAGCAATATAGAAAGAGTACCATCAGTACCCTCATATAGAGTTGATCATTTTAATACTGCTTTTATGACAACTATTTTACTAGCTATTTTATTGTCATTTTATCAATGCATGGTTCTTATCATATTTTGAAGTATTGAGATTTTGATATAACACTGATTTTGATATTACAGTGATCAACCTCTTATATGGATAAAAAAGCTTGAGACAGAACTATTCCTATACAAATGCTGTTTAAAGAATTTGCTTATATTATCAAGCAGTCTGCTTACAGTCTTTTGGGTCTTTTTATACATGACAATGCATGGCAAAATCTTCTATGAATCTTTAATGACCATGTTTGTTTTCAAACTCTGCTACCAGTTTGGCAATGATAGCCTTCAGTTTATTTTCAGGACTGTTAAAAATATTGAAACCCCAGCCAAGCTGTGGCTCAGGAGAAAGGTAAAGTACAAAGTACTGAAATAATAACCTATTTTGTATTTGTACCTGAAGCTGCCGTACCTGATCCATGATGGCTTGAATGTCCTCCATAACACAGACCAATGTTCACTTTGAGGTTTAGTCGTTAAGCTGCTCCTCTGTTGGTCTTGATTGCAGCTGCCACCACTGTTTTTTCCCCACTACGCCTCACTATGCCTATCACTATATAACTTTGAGCCAGAAACAAAAACAAAAAAATACGCGAACATACAATTTAACAGCCAATAAGCAGCCTCTGTATAGATCCTGCCGACAACGCCAATTGTAAACCACACGCTGCTTCATACACAAGTGCCAGAACAAACTGGCCCAGAGGCTATTTTCAGGACTGTTAAAAATATTGAAACCCCAGCCAAGCTGTGGCTCAGGAGAAAGGTAAAGTACAAAGTACTGAAATAATAACCTATTTTGTATTTGTACCTATCTCTGCATTTCACATTATCATTTGTTTTTTTCCAAGTTCAGCAGGTAGTTAACACCTCAACCAGTAAATCCACTTCTTTCAGAACAACTAATATCAAAAAACATGTCACCCCTTGACTCTGCTTGCACGATACGGGTGTAACACACACACACACACACACACACCACATGCTTGTCTGGCTCATGCAAGCAGCGCTGAAGAAATTCTTAGCTTTAGAACTGCTGCCACAGAGGCTACCAAGTCAGCCAGTTATGTAACTCTGTGAACAGTGAACACATAAGCAGCTTAATAAAGACTGTGTTTGATTTTACCGAGTGCTGAAGATGCTGCAAACTCTTCACTGCTTTATTTCTGATCTAGTCCTCAGCCTTTTCAGACCAAGCATTAGTAGTGGTAAAAGTATTCAGATCCTTTACTTTACTTTAGTATTGCCAGAAAAATGTACTTAGAATTAAAGTATTACAAGGCCAAGTGTACGGGACTGCTCTGCACCACTTTCCTTACCGGCTGGCAGTGCTTGACTTGCAGTGCAGGATATGGCTTGAAAAGTTTTGCTTTTCTTTGGAATCTCCACCCTTCTGATTTTCCCTGCAATGTGGTAATAGAAGAATCTGCTGTGACAACAGGTGTGGTAGTAGCAATGATTTAAAGATACAAGAAGTGTTATGTACACCAGTGGTTCTCAAACATTTTTACATCAAGGAACCCTAAACTGAAACAAATTAGACCAGGGTCCCCATTTAAGAAGATTTTGTCCCTACTTTAAATTTGTTTACTTAAGTTACATTTTCAATGTATTTTTTAGTGTGGCATTAATACTTAAATAAAGGATCTGAATACTTTCTCTAATACTGGAAAAGGTTGTGACAAATAGTAGTTTTCTTGTCTCTACTTTCTTAATCAATGGCAAACGTTTTGCAAGAACCATTGCTTGTGAAATCCACTTAAAATGTTGGCACAAATGAGAGTGATTTACTTGGAATTTCCCTGTGAGAAAGAAAGTGATCAGACAGGGTTGCTATTGTATCAGTGGAGTCTCATCTTACACAAAACCTGATAACAAATGCATAATCTCTTTTCGACTACAGTTGGCTTGT